TCATTTCTGGGTTTTCAATTCTATTCCATTGGTCCTGAGGTCTGTTCTTATGCCAATACCAAGCTGTTTTGATTACTATGGCTTTATAGTAGAGTTTGAAGTTTGGTATTGATATTCCTCTAGCAGTGTTCTTTCCATTGAGGAGCGTTTTTGCTATTCGGGGTCTTTTATTGTTCCATATGAATTTTGGATTGCCTCTTCCACGACTTTTATTTTAAATCACCAAAGTCTTTTCACCATTTAGTATGATGTATTTGTTTTCTTATTTATTGCTTATCTTCTCCAGTAGATATTAAGTTGTACAAAAGTAATAGTCATACCTGTTTTTTTGTGATATATTTGTATTTATTCATCATATTGTATACAGGAGTCATACGTATTTTATTTTCCAGAATAGACAATGTCTACTATATAGTGCCAGGCCAAGGGAGTAGTGATTTTGATAATCACTTTTTAAATAAATAAATCCATGTTTTTGTTGGCATCATCACCTTTGTATGTTTCATATTTCTTCTGTGAGTCAACTGTTCTAATTTTCCCTAACTTTTATGATTGTCCTCTTATTTCCTTATGTCTGTATATGACTATTGGGCAGTCAAGCAAGGTTATTTGATATCTGGGACTCATTTAAAAAGCTTTTCCCTTGCAGGGTGCTGGTGGCTCATGCCTATATTCTAGCTACTCAGGAAAAGTCCACGAGACTCTTATCTCTAATAAACTACTCAGAAAAAGCCAGAAGTGGCACTAAGGCCCAAGGGGAAGAACTCTAGGCTTGAACACAAATAGGTTCAGAGCCAGTACCCAGACCCTGAGTTCAAGCCCATGACTGGCAAAAAAAAGTTCTGCCCCCCCCTCCACCCCCCTCTCCCCGTCTAGGCAGTTAGTTGCAATATTGTTCTTCCTTCACTCTGAAATCTCTCTGTCCTTGTTCAAGCCTTTATTCCCTTATTATTTTATTATTCTATCTTGTCTTCCAGTGGCTTACCTTATTTTACAATCTTTTTATTTTATTTTGATACACATTTTCACTTAATTTAACTTAACAAAAGTACTGTTTGGATCATATAATTCTCTTGCTTAGAAGTCCACAGTGATGCTTCACTATATGCAGGAACAATTTAAACCCTGTAGTGCTTAAGATCTTGCTTTCCCTTTCTGCCCCCAGTGCTGAGGATTAAACTCAGTCTTGTGTCTGCAGGGCAGGGCCTCTACTACTTGAGTCAGGCCCTTGCTAGATAGGGTCTTGCTTTATGCCCTGGCCCACCTGAGCTGTGGTCCTCTTACCCATGTCACTGGCAATGACAGGTGAGTGATATTGTAACTAACCATCAGTTGAGATAGAGTCTCTCAAACTTTTATGCTGGGGCTGGCCTCCAATCTGTGCTTCCCAAGTCCCTAGGATTAATTACAAGTTTGAACCACCATGCCAAATGCTGCCTTGAAGGTTTTTTTTATACTTTTCTTCTAAGTATGTTCTCATATATTCTTTTTTTTTTTTTTGGTCCGTCGTGGGGCTTGAACTCTGGGCCTGGGCGCTGTCCCTCAGCTCTTCAGCTCATGGCAAGCACTCTACCGCTTGAGCCACAGCACGCGCCACTTCCAGTTTTCTAGTAGTTTATTGGAGATAAGAGTCTCACAGACTTTCCTGCCCGGGCTGGCTTGGAACCGCAATCCTCAGATCTCAGCCTCCTGAGTAGCTAGGATTACAGGTGTAAGCCACCAGTGCCCAGCTTATATATTCTTTCTGACCATCATAGCTCTCTTTTTTTTTTCTCGGTCAAAATTTTGAGAGAAGATTACACAGGCATGTCTCTATGTCTGTGTACATGTGTAGTTATTCTGTTCATTATTATTAATAATAATTATTTTGTGTCAGTCATGGGGCTTGAACTTTAGGCTTGGGTGCTGTCCCTGTGCTCTTCAGCTCAAGGCCAGCTCTACGACTTGAGCCACAGCGCCATTTCTGGTTTTCTCCTGGTTTATTGGAGATAAAAGTTTTGCGGACTTTCCTGCCTGGGCTGGCTTTGAACCGTGATCCTCAGATCTCAGCCTCCTGAGTAGCTAGGATTACAGGCGTGAGCCACTGGCCCACAGCTTCTGACTCTGTTATTAGTCTTTATTATGACCCTTTTATTAGTCTTCCCAGACTACCTTGGAGAACAGCAGTGTTCTTCAATCTTATTTTTTTACGATGGACCTCCCTCAAGGAGGTCTAACAAGAAAATTTCTAACAAGAAAAATTAAATACGAAGGAATAAGATTTTGTTAGAGATATGTGAACTTTGGAGAACCTATAAATTATTGTTAGTATTTTAAGATTTTTGTCAAAAAAAACCCTCACAAAACAAAACAAAAACAGTGGCTCAACCCTGTAATCCTACCTATTTAGGAGGCTGAGATCTAAGGACTGTGGTTCAAAGTATCCTAGGCAGTAAAGTCTTTTCGATTCTTATCTCCACCAAAAAGCCAGAGAAGAGCTATGATTCAAGTGGTAGAATGCAAGCCTTGAATGAAAAATTTAAGGGATAGCATCAGGCCCTGAGTTCAAGTCCTAATACTGACAAACACACAAATAAGCAATAAAAAGGTTTTATTTCCTAATAATCTTTTTTTTTTTTTGCCACTCAAGCTGCTTAAATTCAAGGCCTGAACTCTGTCCCTGAGGTTTTTTGCTGAAGGCTAGTGTCTATCACTTTAGCCACAGTTCCATTTGCTGCTTTTTTGGTAGTTAATTGGAGATAAGAGTCTCATGAACTTTTCTGCTAGCTGGCTTTGAACCATGATCCCCCAATTTTAGTCTCTTGAGTAGCTAGTATTACATACATGAGCTACCTAATCCTGGCTGTAAGAACCATTTGAATCCCCTGCATTGAGAATATATGGCAGGGTTAAGGCTCTACTTTTTGGATTCAGAACTTATTTTCTGTTGATAGTAAATCTTAAGTTGCTTTAGGATATTCCTAATATTAAAATAAACATTTATAATTGTTTTAAAGATTATAAAAATTTAAAAATTATAAAAATTTATATATTTTTATAATTGCCCTAAATATAATTTGTTAGTTAATTTTATTGTTCCTCCAACTAGACAGTGAATATGGGGGTATTTCCAGATGTTTACCTGACAGTGAACGCACTGGATTAGGAGAGCCACTTTCTCTAATGTGGCTTGTCAATTGTAGTATTGATAATACTGTTCTGATGGTTTCTTTCAAATGACAAAATCAGACTTTCATTCCTCACAGAATCTTGCTTCAGACCTAGCCCCACAAAAGATACAAATGCTTATTGGTTGGCTATTAATTTTGACTTTTGTTCTCTGATACTGAACAGTATTGATAAGCTACATTAAAGCATTGGTGTGTGGTTCAGTGAAAAATAATTACCCATGATGCAGGTTAGGTACATTGATTTTCTGTATTGAAACTTTGATTCCCTCACTACAGGCAGTGCAGTGGCATCAGTAGCTGTAGATCCCAGTGGCCGGCTTTTAGCTACTGGTCAAGAAGACTCCAGCTGCATGTTGTATGACATAAGAGGAGGAAGAATGGTTCAGAGTTACCACCCTCATTCCAGTGATGTCCGTTCTGTTCGCTTTTCCCCTGGAGCTCACTACTTGCTAACCGGCTCTTATGATATGAAAATAAAAGTGACAGACCTACAAGGTGATTGAGATTGACCTCTCTTTCTCTAATTTTAGTCTCTTTTAATTTTTATTCTTTTGTGTGTGTGTGAATTTGGTGTAATTGACTCTATAGCATTTTCAGATACTACATTTATTAAGCAGATTACTTAAACTGCATGAGGGTTTCTTGTAGCAAGTTATTAAGTAAACAGTGAATCTTTATATTGTTGAATAATTTTATCTATTATAGTAAATTATAATGAGATAAATGATAGATATATGCAAACTTACTAGCTTAAAGAAAAACTTTTAAAAAAGGGGTTGGCTATTTAGCTAGGTAGAAAAGCACTTGCTAGGCAAGTGCAAGGCCTTGAGTTTGGTCTTTGACTATGCAGAAAAAAATCTAATTCCATTAAACAGATTATTTCAACTGCATGAGGGAGTGAAGGGCCAGGGAATCAGTGACACTTCCTAGGTTTCTGGGCAACCAGATGTTTCCATAAGTTGAGAGAGGAAAATGGGTGGGAGGAGGAATTCTTGAAAAGCAAACCAAGAAGTTAAGTTTTAGACAAGTCAAATTTAGGATGAAAGGTTCTTTGGATACTAATCTGAAGTTTAGATAAGAAGTTAAGGTTGGAGATAAAATGTGTGTGAACCATAAGAATGTAAATGACCAAGGTACAATACGAAATTTCATACAAAGTGAGGTAGCAAAGTAATTGATAAATGGGGCACTGGTGGCTCATGCCTGTAATCCTAACTACTCAGGAGGCTAAGATCTGAGGATCTCGGTTCAAAGCCAGCGTGGGCAGGAAGAACCGTGAAACTCTTTTTTTTTTTTTTTTTGTCAGTTGTGGGGCTTGAACCCTGGGCTTGAGCGGTGTCCTTGTGCTCTTCAGCTCAAGGCTAGTGCTCTACCACTTGAGCCACAGCACCACTTCCGGTTTTCTGTGTGGTACTGGAGATAAGAGTCTCACGGCTTTTCTTGACAGGGCTGGCTTTGAACTGTGATCCTCAAATCTCAGCCTCCTGAGTAGCTAGGATTACAGGCATGAGCCACCAATGCCTTGGCTTAAGCTATGAAACTCTTATCTCTAATAAACCACCAGAAAACTGGAAGTGGCACTGTGGCTCAAGTGGCAGAGCGCTAGCCTTGAGCTGAAGAGCTGAGGAACAGCACTCACTCAGGCCCAGAGTTCAAGCCTATGACCAAAAATTAAATAAATAAAAGGAATTGATAAAATCTGCAGGATGACAATTAGAATTCCACAGTCTTTCAAATTAGGAAGAGAAGAAAAGCCAGCAAAGAGGGGGACAAAGAAGGAGTCAGGGTGCAATCAAGTGGAGGGGCTGCCCAGAGAAAGTAGCAGCCACGTCAAATGTTAGTGTGCATGTTACCAAGTTCTACTAGCACGATTTATCCCTATTTAAAACATACATACCATAGTATTTAAAAAGCAGGAAGTCGTAGAATGTATGCAAATGCTTATTTTGTCTTAAAAATGAACGTATTCTTTTCTTCTTAATTTAGGGGACCTCACTAAGCAGCTTCCTATCATGGTGGTAGGGGAGCACAAGGACAAAGTGATTCAGTGCAGGTGGCACACCCAGGACCTCTCCTTCCTGTCGTCCTCTGCAGACAGAACTGTAACCCTCTGGACTTACAGTGGCTAGTGTACACCCTATGTTAGTCTGTGCTATGGAAGCCCAGAGACTTAAGACTACTGAATTGTGAAAACTCCAACTCTGAAGAACTCAGACTGTCTGAGAGTGGTTTAGCACGAGGAAACCCTTTATTCCCCTGTGTGCTGTTGGTAGGAGGTATTGGGTGATGGTGGTACGCAGTGCTTTCTGTCTTCCATGTGAGCTTGTGCTGCGCTCACCCGCTATGTGTAGTCTCCTTGCCAAAGTCTGAAGAAGAGCTCTTACGTTGTTGTTGTGCACTCCAAGTCAAAGTGGATAATGTGTTTACGGTTTTTTTGTTAAATGCATTCCTCAGTCTCAAATAAGTTTTTTATATATACATTGAAACTGAATTTAAGTGTATTATTACATATAATGTCACCACCTTCTACTTTGCTCTTCTCACCATCCCATATTTGATCACTTTTCTTCTAGTGGCCAGAATTTTATGTCTCCCAAAATTTACATTGTTGTTTTCACTTACGGATCATTATGGAGTTTAAAGATGAATGGAAAACTGCTTCTTAGTTCATTATGTGGTATAGGCTTCTTTTAAAAAAATTCTCAAACCCAGGGATATGGTTATTATCCTGTCACATAATTTTGTTTCAGGCTAAAGGTTCATGTGTTTGCTTCAGAAACTTGTTCATTTCAATATCTTGAATGCAACAAGATACCTCCTTCAAAAATAGTACAGAGCAACAGTATGCAATGCGATATTTGATGGAGCAATTATTTACTGGCTAGCATTTTCCTCTTAAAATTTAAAAACTTTGCCATAGACCATAGCGTGTCTTGAAATGCTATGTCTGCATGATAATTTAAAAATGGGAAATTTAAACTTTGCACTCCAAAAACTTACTTGGATTTTTTTTCTGATGCCGTTTTGTGTGATACAGAATAATGATTTTGTTTCTATGGCATTGTAGATCCTAACATTTATGTATCTTTATTTTCATATTGTACAGTAATTTTAAGTTATTAAATAGGCTATTTTATTTATTTTCAACTGCAGTTGTATTGGTACTAATTATTGAATTGTCTGTGCACTGTATGTAGCAAGCATTTTAAATCTATTGTGCACATGTGGAAAGGATACTAGATGTGTAACTGTGCTTTTATTTCAATAAAGATCTCTTGACACTGAAACTATGTATGTTTCTCAGAGTCTGTGGATTTCCAGTGTTGTTTTCCAGTTTACTTGGTGGAAGTGGGTCCAATAGAAGAACTCCATGATCATTTTTTTATATGTGTACCAGTACTGGGGCTTGAACTCAGAGCTAGGAGCTTTCCCTAAGCTCTTTTTGCTCAAGACTGGTGCTCTACCACTTGAGCCACAGCTTTACTTCGAGCTTTTTGGTGGTTAAGATCATACTTTCCTGCCCGGGTTGGCTTCCAACCACAGTGCTCACATTTCAGACTCCTGAATAGCCAGGATTACAGGATGGGCCACCCAGTCATAATCAGTTTCTTACTACTAATGTGCTTTTTAACTCTTGATAAGGTCATTACTTTTATGTCTTCTTTCTGTTTTTTCTTAGTTTTCCATTGTCCCTTGTATATGCTAGGCAAATGCTCTACTACTATGCCATGTCCTCAGCCTTGTATTGTGATTTTTTTTAATTAATAAAAACAAGGCAAGGGCTGAGAGAGCACCTCAGTGGTAAAGTGCTTGTCGAGCATGTGTAAGGACTTAGGTTTGATCCCTCCCATCCCCACTGCTGAATGAATGTATAAATTCTAACTCACATCCCAAGTATGTTGGATTTGATACTTCTACATAAAATCTAGTTTGATTTTGGACATTCATTAGGTACATAGTTTTTCCCTTTGAGGCAGCAGAAAGGAGTTCTGCTAAAAGTAGGTTCACGATCTTTTCCTAAGTTAACATCATACTTAATATTACACATTTTAACCACGACTGCAAGTTTTTGTGTAATTGAAAACTAGGAAAATGGACTCTTTTAAATTTCATTTTTGACAAAAGTAAGGCAAGAATAATAAATGATACTGCTATTTTTTTCCCAACTCAAACTTCCATTTCATTTTTCTTGAATACAAAATGATTTTGTCTAAACCAAGTAAAAATGACCTTTCCCTCCTTTCGGGAAATCAAAACATTCAAAGAATCCAGAGCTTTCTCTCCATGGCATATATTTAGGATGGTATTTGAGACAGGTAGGTGAATTTGGGCACTGTCAGTTGGCTTTGAGAATGGACAAGGTTTGTTGTTTCCATTTATCTTTGATTTATCCCAGGTCAATAGGACATCCGTGAGAGGAAGTTGTGAGTGGTCCGGCACCCTGCTGTGCTCAGTCATCAGCTCTGAGAAGCCCAAGAAACATAATGGCCTTGGGTGTGCATAGCAGAGCCCAGAGGGTATACATAGCAGAACCTGGTGCATACCAGATTGTTGGTCACTCCTCCTGGTGGGGCATTTCCATGGTTGCCAAAACTCTCATCTTGTTCTCCATACATTCCAGGGGGAGATTCTTTCTTTACGGTTCCTGTAAGCTGCTTTTCCTAAGGGGAAAGTTTGCAGGTTCATTGTAAAGGATATTACCAAGGATTTAGATAAAACATATCTGAATCTTCTCTGGGCATGCCATTTCCAGGAACTTGCCAGAAATTGCAGGAATTTTAGTTCCTTTTTTTCTTCTTTAGATCCCTCCTTCCTTCAACACACTAAAACTATATATTTATGGAATGCCATGTGACTTTTTTTCTTTTCTTTTGGTGGTTGAAATCAGGGCATTGGTGCTGTCCCTGAGCTGCTTTTGCTTTACCACTTGAGACACAGCTTCAGTTAAGTCTTATGGACTTTCCCTGCCTGAACTGGCTTCAAACAGTGATCCTGAGATCTCAGTCTCCTGAGAACTTGGGTTACAGGTGTGAGTTACTGGCACCTATCACTATGTGATTTCTCAATACCTGTGTTCATTTCTTATATATATTATATACATATATAATACATTATTACTTGTAGTCATCCTACTGTACAATAGAATGTCAGAACTTTTCTGTCTGTCTGTCCATCTCTCTCTCCCTCTCTTCCCCTCTTCTGTCACTAATAAGGCTTAAACCTAGGGCTGGGGCACTGTCTCTTAACTTTTTTTTGCTGAATGTCAGAACTCTAGCATTTGAGCCACAGCTAGACTTCTGCTAGAATCCTCAGATCTCAGCCTCCTAAGTAGCTAGGATTAGACATGAGCCACTGACACCTGGCTAGAACTTAGGGCAATTTATTAATATGTACCAGTTAATTTTAGAGTAAATGTGGTCATAGGTCTGAAGTAGAATCTGGGTTGGATCTCTCTCTCTCTCTTTCTCTCTCTGTCTCTGTCTGTCTCTCTGTCTCTGTCTCTCTCTTTCTGGGTGCTGGTGGCTCATGGCTATAATCCTAGCTACTCCAGATGTTGAGATCTGAGGATTTTGATTTGAAGCTAGTTCGGGCAGGAAAGTCCATGAGACTCTTATCTCCAATTAAGTACCAAAAAAAAGGCCAGAAGTGAAGCTGTGGCTCAAGTGGTAGAGTGCTCAGGGTAAAAGCTCAGGGACAGCACCTAGGCCATGGGTTCAAACTCAAGGACTGTAAAAAAGAAAAAAAAAAGAAGTAAGTCAAAAGGACATAATCCATAGGGTGAAAAGAACACATGAAATTGGAGAAAAAAATTTACAACTTCTGTTTAGCTAGGGGTTGATCTTCAGAGTATAGAGAGAATTCCTAAAATTCAACTATAATATAAAAAAACACCACCCCTGACTTGAAATAAGGAAAGAATTTGAATAAGTGTTTTTTTCTAGTGAAGATATAGATAGATCGATAGATAGATAGATAGATAGATAGATAGATAGATAGATAGATATAAATGGTTATTATTAAAAAATACTTAGCTGGGCTTGGCCCCACACTTGTATTCCTAGCTATTTGGGAGCCAACCCAGGAATTTGAGGGCAGCCTGGGCAATATTAGTGAGACCAAATCTTTGAAGAGAAAAAAAAAAGAGAAAAAAAGTTCTAAACATAGCTAGTAGTTAGAAAAATGCAATCTAAACTACTCCCAAAAGAAGCCAGTGTATGACGAAAGCGATATGAACAAGTTTCTGTGTTCCTAGCAGCATATTTTCTCTCTCACTAGCTGAAGGGCAAAAGTAACCCAAATGTCTGGCTCCATGGATGATGTGGATAGCCTGTGATGGATGGGTAATCTTAATTGTCAACTTGAGTAGATTGAAGATGCGTAAAAAAACTGGTCAAGTGAGAGTGTTTGCAGAGATGATTGGTATATGAGCCAGTGAGTAAATCTGAGTGGAGAAGTACTACCATGGGATGAAGTATTTGGTACTTCCTAACACTTTCCAGGATTTCATACAAAATCCTAGAAACTTGGAGATCCATAGTGAAAAGAATTTCATGGTATCTTGAAATTAAAAGGGGGGGGTAAATTCACAAGGTGGAATATTCTGCAAGTATTTTAGTATAACAGGATAAAGTTTTAAAAAACCACTTAAGAAACATTTCCTGCTTGGGAATGCTTCCTATGTTTTATTTTTGTTTTTGTTTTTAGTAAAAGACTCAAAGTGGTTATCTGTAGTTTTTATACTTTTGGAGCTGGGAGAATACACCTGGTCATGCCATTTGGTGCTGTGTCAGGCCTACTGAAAAATATAGAAGCAATAGATGAGTTTTAGGCTTTTCTTTTGCAACACATGCATCTCATTTTTCTTTTTAAAGTTGTTTTTTTTTTTTCAGTCCAGTCGTGGGGCCTGAACTCTGGGCCTGGGCACTGTCCCTCAGCTCTTCAGCTCAAGGCTAGCGCTCAACCATTTGAGCCACAGCGCCACTTCTGGCTGTTTTCTTTTTGCTTATGTGGTACTAGGAATCGAACTCAGGGCCTCATGCATGCAAGGCAAGCGCTCTACCACTGAGCCACCTTCCCAGTCCCTGTATCTCATTTTTCTATCCCTCTAAACTTTCAAGGAGACTGTAGGGGGGAAGGGTCTCCTAGACTGCTAAGGTCCCAGACTGTGTGAGAAAAACTAAGCTGAGAAATTGATTCTTTACTAAAAACAAAGGCCTCAAAGGGAGACCTTAACACGTGTTTTTTTTTTTTTTGGGTCCAGTCGTGGGGCCTGAACTCTGGGCCTGAGCGCTGTCCCTCAGCTCTTCAGCTCAAGGCTAGCGCTCTACCACTTGAGCCACAGCGCCACTTCCGGCCTTTTTTCTTTTTGCTTATGTGGTGCTGAGGAATCGAACCCAGGGCCTCAGGCATGCAAGGCAAGCGCTCTACCACTGAGCCAACTTCCCAGCCCCCTTAACACGTGTTTTACATGGACTTCAGCCCGATCTCATACCCAATTAGAAAGGCACCTGCAGTGCATCCCACCTGGTGATTACCTCTGCTTCAAGGGAGTAGATGCCTGGATATGCACATTGTGTATCCTCCTGTAGCTATCTTTGTAATAAATTTCCTGTAGCTGTCTTTTAACAACCCCCAGCTTCAAAGATGCAGGGGCATATGACATTATGTTTCTGGAATGAACAGCCCACATGAGTAAGAATATCCTTTGTGTGGGGACCCCAAATTCACAGGCCAACTCAAACCAAAATGATAGGTTAGTTCAAACAGTTACTATGAGATGGGCTGTAACCCCATTGGCCACTGACATAAATATGCAATCTTTATGCGTGTGTCACAATTTCGTTGGCCACCTGCGTGTGGCCAGGCTTGACCACATGGATTTTGCCTTTAAAAACCCTAGCTTGTGGGCTGTTTGGGGTCACAGTTTCAGTTCCCAAATCTGTGCTTTGTCCCTGGCCAGTCAGCTATTCACTTCCCCAACAAAGTCATCTTTTTGCATGAGACTGTCTCTGTGTGGTGGACTATTTTCTCCATAACAGATACTTGTAGCATTTTAACACCTCGAAGGAGAAGCCCCATGCAGATAGTTGTCTCTTTGTGTCTCCTAATTTTGTTGACATATAAAAGTAGATGGGAGGGAGCTAATTGCTTTTTTTTTTTTGTCAGTCGCAGGGCTTGAACTCTGGGCCTGAGTGATGTAGTGATGTCTCTCAACTCTTCAGCTCAAGGCTAGAGCTCTACCACTTGAGCCACAGCTCCACTTCCAGTTTTCTGGTGGTTTTTGATGATAAGAGTCTCATGGACTTTCGAACTGGCTTTGAACCATGATCCTCAGATCTCAGCCTCCCGAGTAGCTAGGATTACAGGCATGAGCCACCAGTGCCTGCCTGCTAATTGCTTTTTAAAACTTTTTTTATTAGTTTTTTTTTCAGTTTCAGTGTCCTAATGACTGAGTCTGGACCTTTTAATATTTATTAATTTTATTCTTTCTATCTCCATATCTGCTCTGCCTTAGAAAACCACTTTGAGGGCTGGGAAGGTGACTCAATAATAGAGTGCTTGCCTTTCATGCATGAGGTTCTGGGTTTGATTCCTCAGCACCACATACACAGAAAAAGCCAGAAGTGGCATTGTAGCTCAAATGGTAGAGCGCTAGCCTTGAGCTGAAGAGCTGAGGGACAGCACCCAGGCCCAGAGTTCAGGCCCAACGACCGACAAAAACAAAAACAAAAAAACACTTTGAATTGGGGAGGGGCACCACCGAATAGTTTGGGGGCCAGATAGAACAAAAAAGCAGGAGTAAGATTCCAGTCACAAATTTAATTTTTTTTGAAAGTGTTTTTTGTTTGTTTTCTTTCCTAATGGACCTCAGACTCCGGTTGGTTCAGCCTTTGAACTTGCTGACTTGTCCCAATGACTTTCTAGGGGATTTCAATGCCTTCAGTAAATTCCCTCTTAATTCTGTTGGTTCTGTTCTTCTGAAGAGCTATGAATAATATGGCTATGGAAAATACATATGATGGGATATCCAGCCTTTAAAAAGGGAATTCCGTCATGCTAAACCGTGGAGGAATCTCAGGGACATTATGCTAAGTGAAAGAAGACAGTTGCAAAAATACAAATGTAGTATAATTCCATTTATATGAGGTACCAGAGATAGGGAAAGGGAAGGAGGGAAGACTGGGCGAGTTATTTAGGATATACAGAGTTTCCGTTTTGCAAAGTGAAGAATTCAGAAATGATGTTGATAGTTGGGTAACGTGTGTCCTTAAAAGTGGCCTAGATAGGCTGGGTGCTGGTGGCTCACGCCTACTAAGGAGGCTGAGATCTGAGGATAGGTGTGAGAAGCCATTATCTCCAATTAACCAGCAAAAAGCCAGGAGTGACTCAAGAGGTAGAGCATCAGCCTCATCAGCCTCAAGCAACAAAGCTTAAAGGATAACTCCTAGGCCTTGAGGTCAGGCCACAATACGGGTGGCCACACACACACACACACACACCCAGGAAACATCATTTCCAAGGACTTTATGTTACAGCCTCATTTGGCAGCCCCAATACAGGACTAGTGCTATCCCCTATTTGAAAAAAAAAAATTATGCTCAGAATAGATTTGTGGCTTTATGGCAAATGTTCTATGCCAGAATTTATTTTATTTATTTTTTTGTCGGTCGTGGGGCTTGAACTCTGGGCCTGGGCGCTGTCCTTCAGCTCTTCAGCTCAAGACGAGCGTATGCCAGAATTTATAAAACAAATAATAAGAAAACACGCTTTACAGCCGTTTAGTACATTTGAGTGGCACATAGAAACTGATCTGCCAAGAGGATTCGGTACTAGCCAAACCCAGGCCTCCAACCCACCCTGGGGTCTGCCCCGCCCCTCCATCGCGGCCAATCAGCGGCGAGCGCGGGAAGGGCGCACAGCCGCTGACTGAGCGAGTCGATCGGAAGACGCGGCCGGGCTAGCGCAGCGCGCGCTCGTCACCTTCTCACGTCTGCCGGTGTCTTCCGGGGTCGGCCGGCGGGACCCCCGCTCGTGAGTCTGCGCGGCCGCTGGGGCTCCGGGCTTGGCGGGGTGAGGCGCAAGCCGGGGGCGGGAGTGGGGGGGGGGACACCGCAGGCGTTTCCGGGAGGGGCGGTGACCCGAGGCCGCGGCCGGTTCCGGCCTGCGCGGGCCCCGGTGCGGGCGCCGCGTGTCTGTCAGCGCGGGCCCGGGAAACGGCTGTACCCGCGCGCGCCCCGCGCGACCGCAGCGGACGGTGAACTTCGTTGGCTTTCGGTTATCTCTGAAGACTTGAGGGATCATTTCAACAAGTTCTCCCCGTCACGTCTCGCGCGGACTGGATGTCATGAATCGCTAAAGCTCCCCGCCCATTCGAGTGTGGAAAGTTAGGCGCTGCGTGCGCCTGCGTGCGGAGCGCGGCGGGGTGGGAGGCAGGGCCGGCGGCCCCGGCGCGCTCCCGAGACTCGCGCGCTCGCTCACTGTCGGGGAATACGTCCGAAGTAACTCGCAGAGTCGCAAGTTTGACGTCACCGCTCCAGGCGCCTGCGCGAACACGCGTGCGCGGCCTCGCAAACCTCTGGCTTCCAGACCAGCGCCGTTGTGGAGTCCGTGGGGCCTGGTTACTTCTGCTTTCTACCACGGTGAAGGGATTGAACTCAGAGGCTTCTTTGCGGATTTCCGCTCCGTGGCTGGCTGTAGCCGTGCTGGTCGGCCTGGTAGTTTTTCCGTGGCTCCCCGCCCTCCTTCCCTGGGGTCCACCCTGACACCCCTAAAGGGAAAACGCCTGGCCACGGGTACTTCGCCCTGACCACTTACAGGCTCCGTGGGCTTTAGGTATATTACTGCCTTTTCTGATGTACAACATGAAGATCTGCGTTTAGCGGTTTTTTGTGGGGGTTAAATGAATGTGTTATTCAAGTGTGAGGCAAACAGGCGCTGGTGGCTCGAAGGCAGCCCAGGCCGTGAGACCTCTTTCCAATTAACCATCCCAAAGCTGGAAGTACAGCTGTGCCTCAAGGTCGTAGAGCACCATCCTTTAGCAAAAATCTAAAGGACAGCCCCCAGGCCCTGAGTGCAAGATTGATGTTGAGACAAGGCTTCCCATAGTTTCCTTGAACTGTGATTTTCCTGTCTCGACTTCTCCAGTGCTGGGATCACAGTATGTGTCCGTTACATCTGATTTAGAATGGTTACTTTTACTTTACACTGACCCCAACCAAAGTGATCATGGTGTTATGGGGGACATCTGTGGCACTGTGATTAGGAGATTTGTTAGAAACACAGGATCTTTTTTTTAAAATTTTATTCTATTGTAAAGATGCTGTACAGAGGGGTTACAGTTACAGGAGTAAGGCAATGAGTACATTTCTTGTGGAGCATTGTTACCCCCTCCGTTGTTTTTCTCCTATCCCTTCCTTCCTCTTCTCCCCCCTTGGCAAGTTGTAAAGTTCATGTCCAACATTGTCTCTTGTGGGTATCATTGTTGCACACACAGGATCTTAACATTTACCTTAATTTGATATTAGAATCATTTTTATTTTTCCTGAGACACGGTTTCACCCCCGCATGGCCTCATGCAGGCAAGCCTCCTGTCTCAGCTTCCCAAGTGCTGGGATTACAGGTGTGTTTCACCATGTGTTGTTTTCTTTGCTGTTGTTTTATTTACTTATTTTTTTGGTCGGTTGTGGGGCTTGAATTCTGGACCTGGGCACTGTCCCTCAGCTCTTCAGCTCAAGGCTAGCACTCTACCACTTAAGCCACAGAGCCACTTCGGTTTTCTGGTGGTTTATTGGAGATAAGATTCTCACAGACTTTCCTGCCCGGGCTGGCTTTGAACCATGATCTTCAGATCTCAGCCTCCTGAGTAGCTAGGATTACAGGTGTGAGCCATTAGCGCCTTGCTGTTTAAAAATTTAAAAAAAATTATCTTTAGCTGTACAAAAGGTTTCAATTCAATATATCTGTTTACATGTATGATGTATCTTGATTAGTGTCACCATTTCCCTCATTCTCCTCCACCCTCCTATCCCAACCCCCACAAGTTTCCTCAAGTTTCTTGGTTCCATTTTTATAGTAAGTACATTGTACTGTGGCTGTATTTGCCCCTCCCATTTCATCTACCCTCCTCCCCTAAAGCTGCACATACAAAGTATGTTTCAGCATTTTTTTGTTTGTGTCAGTACTTGAACTCAGGGCCCAGCAATCACTTGGCTTTTATCAAGTGGTGCACTATTACTGGAACCACACTTCCAGCTTTTTATTAGTTAATTGGAGATAAGAGCCTCACAGACTTCTACCCAATCTGACTTTTAACTGAGATCCTGAGATCTCAGCCTCCTGAATAGCTAGGATTAGAGGTGTGAGCCAGCAGCTTTCTCGTGTTCATTTTGTTAAATTGTTCAGAGAACATATCTCACCTCTGTGTATACCATACTTTAGTCCATTTGATTGTATATACATGCATGTGTGCCCTTTTGTTGTCCCTGAGCCTGGCTTCATTCAACATATTTTTTTGTCCAGTTCTCTGCAAGTCTTCCTGATGGATGAATAGAATTCTGTTTCATATGTATATATGCCACAATTTCATGATTCATCAATATCAGTTGTAGGGCATCTGGGCTGTTTTCATAACTTGACTGAAGTGAATAATGCAGCAATGAACATAGATGTGCTGGTACCTTTATTGTATCCTTTATTGTATCTTTTGGATAAATGTAGTGAGAATTTTACTTTTTACCAAAATACTCTGCAGGTTTGGATCCAGCTTTGTTTGGAGGGAGTTTGAGATCAGTTACAAGATTTATCAGAGTTATAGACTTAAACTAGTTTCCAGGGGAATTTGACAGGAGAGCTTGAATTTTCAGCTGATTCTATCTCACCTCTGATCTTCCATTAGTAATAAATTGCCCTTCTCAGTCTTGGCAAAATTTCTGCATCTGCTGATGATTATTGAAGAAAGTAGCATAGTGCTCAATGGTAGGACTTTGGGGTGTGTGACAAGCTTTCCATTCATATTCTTTTTCAGAATAGGACATTGAATCCAGAGGCTGGAGCTCTCTGAGCAAATAAGCACTTGAGCTAAACTCCTAGTGACCTTCTTTGGCTTGTTTTCAAAATCTCCATTACCCTCACCCCAATGTCCTCTCTCTCCCCCCAACAGTGATACTCCTTTTGGAACATGTCACTGTCTACTTAATACCATACCTCATCTTCTTGGGCTCAATTCCCGTTATATACTCTGTCACGTACATCCTAGCCTCTTAAGAATAAGGCTTCTCCCTGTTATTCTTTGTAATCATTAATTAACTAATCCAGTGGCCTTATATCAGACTTTATTCTCTACTTCTCTGAAGTATTTAATATGACTAAAACTTCTAAAGTAAACCTGTCCTTGGCTTTATCACCTTGTAGTTTTTAGCTTGTTCTCTGTTGTTCATTCTTTCAAAGCTTTATTCCTTAACACTTGGTGGAGATTTTTTTTGTTATTATTTTTCTTTCTAATAAGGTCTATTCAGTGTTTGTGTATCTCCAGGGCATTGCTGTGATGTTAGTATTCTTTCTTTACATTTTTTTTTTAATGATACTGGGGTTTGAAGGCTTGGAGCTACATAAACAGGTGCTCTACCACTGAGCCAGGCCTCCAGTTGACTTTTCTTTCTTTTCTTTTTCCTCCCCTCCCCTCTTCCTTCTCCTTTTCTTTTCCTTTATGCCAGTTCTGGGGCTTGAGCTCAGAGCCTGAGCCTTGTCCCTGAACTTTTTTTTGCTCAAGGCTTTACAGCTTGAGCCACACTTCCACTTCTAGGTTTTTGGTGGTTAATTGGAGATAAGGGTCTCACAGGCTTCCTTGCCTGGGTTGGCTTGAAAGCCATGATCCTCAGATCTCAGATTCCTGAGTTGCTAGCATTAAAGGTGTGAGCACCATCCCTGGCTTGACTTTATGTGTTTAAACACAAAACTTTAAAAACTGTCAGTAGTTAGTTGAATTTATTAGTAATTTGATCAGTTCCGATTTTCATCATCATTTTGTTTATTGGCTCATTTTCTTGTTGTGGTCAGACTTTTTCCCCCCATTTTGAAGTTTTAACTTAGGGCCTCACGCTTGCCAAAGGCTGGCAAACCTCCATCCAGCCCTGCTTTTTTCTGGTTAGAGATAGGATCTGTCAAACTTTTCTGCTCAAGTTAGCTTTGATCATCAAAGCTTCCTGAGTTCCTAGGATTACTGGTATAAGCCATCAGCACCTGGCTTCAAACTTTTAATATATGATCCTGGGTTGAAGTCATTTTTAGTCTTTCATATCTGAAGAAATTGACAGTTTTCTAGGGCTGTCATAAAGTACTGTGGTCTAGGTAGCTTGAACAACAAATTTTCCTACAATTCTGAGGGCTAGCAGATAAAGCAAGGTATGACAGGGTGTATCTCTTGGCTTGTCAGTGGTCATGTCTTCACATTGTCTTACCTCTGACTGGTGAGTTTTCAGATTTCTTCCTCTTAGAAGGGTACCACTCATCTTGGTCTAGGGCCTGTTTTATGCACCTTATTATGATTTACTTTCCTAAAGATCCTAAGCCTGGGACCGTGGTTCATGCCTGTAATTCCAGCATTTGGGAGGTTGAGGCAGCAGAGTGAGTTTGAGACCTTCCTGGCTCTACAGCCAGACCCTGCCACACTTACAAACGCCCTATCTCTAAATGTAGTCACATTCTAATGTACTAGGAGTTAGGACTTCAGCACATGAATTTTTGGGGAGGGAAGGAGATAACATTTAGCCTGTAACAATATAATAATTAGTCTTGTGCTCATTTAAAATGAGTGCAATGTTGTCAGGCTCTCGTGGCTCATATATGTAATCCTTCAGGAAGCTGAAATCTGAGTGCAAGTCAGCCTGGCAGAGCAGTCTATGATTCCTATCTCCAGTTAACCAGCAAAAAAACAAGTGGAGCTGTGGCTTAAATGATAAGGCAGTCAGTCTTGTGTGAAAAAGCCAAGTGAGATCTCTATGCCCTGAGTTAAAGTCCCAGTAATGACAAAAACAACAGAGAAACCTCTTGTTAAAATATGAAATATAACCTATATATAGAAAAGTGTATAAAATATAAATGTGTATCCTTACTAGCACATTGTTACAAAGTGAAAATCCATGTGTTCTAAGAAATGAAACAATGTGCTGTCCTAGAGCCCTCTAGATCCTTTGTCCCATTCGTGATCTCAGAAGTTTTTAGTATTTGCTATTAAACGTGGTGCTTGCTGCAGTAGAAATTTGATAAAGTAGCTTCCATTACTCTTATTTTTTGAGGTGTGTGTGTGTGTGTGTCGTTTGAGGTGTGTGTGTCTGTCTGTCTGTCGTGGGGGGGGGTCGCCCAGTCCTGGGGCTTGAACTCAGGGCCTAGTTGCTGTCCCTAAGCTAAGCTATTTTGCTGAAAGATAGAACTCTACCACTTCAGCCACAGCTCCATTTTTTGCTTTTTTGGGGGGGGAGTGGAAGGAGTGGTTAATTAGAGATAAGAGTCTCACAGACTTTTCCTGCCCTGACTGCTTTCAAACCACAATCCTCAGATATGGCACCTGGCTGCTTCCATTACTCTTAAGAGCTCGTTAGCAGGTGCAGTTAGTTATAAGCTTTATATGTTAACAGCATCAGCTCAGCCTACCTCTTTATCTTTGTTCCTCACCATATTCACTTTTACAATTTCTTTTTGACCTTGGGTATTTGTACTTGTTGAGCCTTCTTGTGTGGCTGGCACTCTACCACTTGAGCTGGGCCACCTCTGGCCCAGCTGTTTGCCTTTTAGAGATTACTATTTATTAAACACTTCATTTGCCAGCCATGGAACTGGGCATTGGGCTCGGGAGATGATGAGGTTAGTGACGAAGATGAGTTTAGATTTGGGTAAAATGTTATCTTTGCACAGAGGAATTAATTCACTTAGTGCTATGGTTTTTGGCCTTGGCCAAACAATGGAATCAACTATGGTGTTTTAAAAAATCTCAGTTACCTGGGCACCAGTCTTGAACATTGCTGATTTAGGTGGTGTAGTTGTTTTTGAAGTTTCTTGGGACACCAGTGTGCAGTACAGTTGAGTGCTCCTTGTTAGTGGAAGAGACATTCCAATAAAGACTGTGTCACTGTGTGTGGTACTAAAAGAATACACAGGGTTCATAGGAGCACAGAGAAGTAATCTAGATTGCTTCCTTCATAGCTGGGATGACTGGTGAGTGCCACCACGCCCAGCTTTTATTGGTTGAGGTCTTATGAACTTTTTTGCTCCTACTGGCTTTGATGTGTGACCCACCTGATACCCTCCTCCTGTGCTAGGATTGCAGGCTTGAAGTCTATCTGGACATTTCATATACCTAGGATCATTTAATAGTATGGTCTATGTGACACATGGCACATAATAGTTTCACACAGCATAACAATTTTAAGGTCCATTCGTGTATGGCATGATATAGGCACTCCATTCTCTTTTTATGGTTAAATCTATTGTATGGCTGTAGGAAATTTACCTGTTCATCAGTAGATGGACTTTCAGGCTGTTTAGGCTTTTAGGCTATTTTGTACAAGTTTTTGTGGGGACATATATTTTCATTTTTCTTGGGTGTATAATTAAGAGATGGGATGGTAGGACCATATTGGAAATACTTATTTTTCTATATCAATGAGAATATTGTTATATATGTATATTTTTATATGAGAATACCATATTTTTATATGAGAATACTCTTTTTCTTTCATGTACAGTTCTTAGTTACTACTCAGAAAGGGTTATCTTTTTGTTGTTGTTGTTGTTGTTGGTTGGCTGTGAGCTTGAACTTGGCCTGGGCACTGTCCCTGAGCTTTTTCTTCTCAAGGCTAGTTAATGCTCTATCATTTTGAGCCACAGTATCACTTCTGCTTTTCTGGTTGTTAATTGGAGATGAGAGACTCATGGACTTTCCTGCCCAGGCTGGCTTCGAACCGTGATCCTCAGATCTCAGCCTCCTAAATAGTATTATAGGCTTGATCCACCCTTGCCTGGCTACAAAGTGTTATCTTAACACTAGAAGTAGTTTTTTATAATAAACAGTTTATTTTAAATTGCTTATTTTGTATTTCAACATATCAATTGTTTATAGCCTCATACAGGATGCTGTGTTTTCTGCTCCTTTGTGAATGTCTGTTTCTGGTAGCTGGTTTTGCTCATGATGATGACTGGATTGACCCCACAGACATGCTTAATTACGATGCTGCTTCAGGAACAATGAGAAAATCTCAGGTATTTACTTATAAAATGCATGATGTGTGTATGCGTGTTAGTGTGTAAGACATTTCAGTCCTGTGAAGAAATGCTCTACCTTTATTATCTCAGAGCTTATGAGTGTCATGTAGAAATGATTAGCAACCATGCTAATCATGCTAATCACGACATTCTCAACTGTAAGACATTTCAAATCCATGTGGTTATTTATGTTTTAAATTGAACGTTTGTGTGTGTGGGTTCAAGTGAGAATGTAGCAAAATCTTAAAGATAAAAATTAAAATTTTAGTCTTTATTCACCAAAGACAGTTTTTACAGTTAAACTATGAAGAAATAAGATCTTAAAAGATTCATGTAATAAAATGTTTTTGGTTTGATTTCTTTTGCTTAGCATAATCATAATGTCTTTTAAAGCTTATGCTGTAATGTATATTACCACTGCATCCCTGCTTATTGCTGATAATGTACCATTTAAATTTTATCTAAATGTTAGCTGGCAGATCTTTGTATACTTTTTGGGTTGATAGAATAATGCTGTGATAGACATTTTTAAGTTTTATTTTTTACTATAAGTAATTGTATAAAGGGGTTTCAGTCTAACAAATCAGTTTATAAGTACAATGCATCTTGATTTATGTCACCTCTTCCATCATTCTCCCCAAAATGTAATAAACATTTGCACTCAAAAAGGTAATAAAATCTATTTTGTTTTAGGTGAAATATGATATATCTGAAAAGAAGGATGTCAGTCCTGACTTATCAAATGCTGATGAATTATCTAAATGTTATCTCAGACTTGATTCTTTAATTTATAAGGTTAGATTTTTTATTCTTAAATTATTATTTATATCATTTGTTTTACTGCCTTTACTTTGTGAACTTTTTGCCCAGGTTGGCCTTGAACCATAATCCTTCAGAACTCTGCTTTTTCAATAGGTGTGATTACATGCAGGAGCTAGTGTACCCAGCCAGAATGACTTTTTTTTTTCCCTGTTGATTGCAGGGCTTGAACACAGGGCCTGGGTGTCCTCTCTGAGCCTCTTTGTGCTCAAGGCTAGCACTGTTACCACTTAAGCCACAGCACTGCTTCTGTTTTTTGAGTGGTTAATTGGAGATAAGAGTCTCCTGGACTTTCTTGGTTAGCTTGGGTTTGAACCATGATCCTCAGATATCCGCTGCCTGAGTAGCTAGGATTGCAAGTGTGAGCCACTGGCAACATGCTTTTTTTTTTTTTTTTTTTTCTTCTCATGCTGGTACTTGGGCTTGAACACGGCTCTGGGAACTGTCCCTTAGCTTTTTCACTCAAGGCACTCTACCACTTGAGCCACAGCTTTATATCTGACTTTTTGGTGGTTAATGAGAGATAAAAAGTCTCCAGGACTTTCCTACCCAGGCTGGCTTTGAACTGTGATCTTCAGATCTCAGTTTCCTGAGTAGCTAGGATTATAGATGTGAGTCATACACTTAGCTCCATGCTAGAATTCTTACATTAAATTTGAATGCTAACTAATGCTGAACTTACTGTATTTTACAGATTGATGAATGTGAAAAGAAAAAGAAGGAAGACTATGAAAGTCAAAGCAATCCTGTTTTTAGGAGATACTTACACAAGATTTTAATTGAAGCTGGGAAGCTTGGACTTGTGAGTATTTGGGCTTGTTAATCAGCATAGTGTGTACTTCCATTATTAATATTAGATAATAAAAAGTGATAAAGGATTATTGTACTTTAGTAGAATACCTGCCTCGATCTTTCCTAAAAGCCGTTCCTTCAAAATGAAAGGTAGCAGCATGCTTTGCAATGGTTTGCAGCAGACCACTCATCTTACCCCTTGAAAGTTAGTTTAATCATGTGTGTTGTATTTGGCCACTAACAGAGGTGAGGAGCAGAGTGCTAACCCTGCCCTCACCTCACTACTTCTTCCTTTCCTTTCCTTTCCTTTCCTTTCCTTTCCTTTCCTTTCCTTTCCTTTCCTTTCCTTTCCTTTCCTTTCCTTTCCTTTCCTTTCCTTT